TATTCAAAAATATTTACGGAGAGCCAGTCAGAGATGCTGAACAAAACAAATGCTTTCTGCTTTCACAGAGGCCTGAGTCAAGGGAGCAGAAGTGGACAGACATTTCACAATAAATTATTTATAGGTGTGAGCGCTGTCTCCAAGAAAAGTCTGCCATCTTAAGATTACAATACAGATGGTGGATCTGACCAAGTCTAATCAAAAAAGGCTTCTCTGAGAAAGTCATGTTGAGGTGGAAACGTCAGGCAGAGGGCTCAGAGACGTAAAGGTCTGGGGCTTTGCAAGGAGCAGCCCAAGAGCCAGAGTGCCCAAAGCTCAGAATGAAAGAAGGGGAGAGGCACAAAAGGAACCTGGAGAGTATCCACCTGATCATTTAGGGTTCTGTGACCATGTCGAGGTTTTGTAATCTATCCTCAAAGTCATGGAAGTATGCGGTGATGATAAAATTTCATAAAGGGGCCCTCTGGTTTAGAAGAGGCAACTGTATATATAAGCTCAGGGTTTTTAAAAATGGCATAACTAAAAATCACAAAATCATAGATAACATAAGAAGGAACTTTAAAATTGTCAAGATCATCACTCCAAAACCACTTTACGTCATGCCTGCTAGATAAGAGTTTATCCTGTTCTGAATGTAGGTTTCAAGGCACAGAATTCGGTCTGTGTTTACACTTAGGGCATTCTCAGCTACTGAACTGGTGATGGGTATTTCTCCAGGTGTCTCCAGAAACTCCATCTTTTCAGGTATGAATAATCCAAGGTTGAGAGAAGCCCTTTCCAGCGAGCGCCGAATGCTGGGGAGATAGTGCAGGGACTCAGGCAGTGGTGCCCCAGGCAGGAAGCACCTAGGTGCTGCTGAAAGCCGGGAAGGCTTCCTGGTTCCCCCCCAGCATCTGCTACAGGGAACAAAGGTGACCTGCCTCTGCCTGAAGCCCATCTCTCAGAGGACAGCCAGTCCGTGACGGTCTTTTTCCCCAAATCTCAAAAGATTAGGCTGTTCATTCCTTCTGATACCAGCATGTCCACATTTCAAGCCCTATTCCAGTATATCTGTGTCTCTGAGGACACACAGCACATCTTCTGCAGATGAATTTCCTATTAAATTACTTGGGTAGTGAGAGTAATTAAAAGTTTCAGATTCAGGAAACTTGTTTCCCATCTTAAATCTTTCCTTACCTCACTCATTTTACACTGAGTTCCTTGTGCCCTGAACTAGAAAAAAAATGCAGAACAACTAGAGAGGCTTTGTTCTGTAGGGAGAAAAAAAAAAAAGCTTGCTCATGGGAGGCAGGATGACTGTTTCAGCATTTTGACTTTATCATTAATTAACCATGACCTTAAGAGAATCACTTTGGACCTCACCTGAAGAAATGAGAGATTTGGGCTAGTCAGTCTCTAAAATCCCTTACAGCGGTGATATTCTAAGTTTTATCCTTCTCTGGTTAAATACACTTTTAACTCCTCCTGTAACCATATGTATTCAGTTAAAAAAAATTCCAGTCCCTTGTCCCTTTCCAGATGCACCTCGCTTTCCAAACTGTTAATCTTATGTGATGCTCCAACTTGAATTATTTCCACACTTTTTATCTTCCTCCATTTGGAAGGCTAAGAACTCTGTATAGTACCTTCAAAAACACACAGGATTACCTCGTGCTCTCTCTTGTCCTATTGTTTTTCTTCTGGTCGGTGAACTTTTTCATCACATAATAATTGTGTACTTCAAATGTATCCGTGTCTCTCAAACCTTCACTGATTGAGACGAAGGTGAGCAGAGGTGAGCATGCCTGAATTTATACCTTCCTACCCATTACACCACAGCTTGTTTTATAGGATGTAGTCATAATTTGAGTATCATTTATAGAAATACCTTATTGAAATTATAAAACAGTATAGAGCCTAGGTACAGAATTTGAATAAATAAATGTTTCTTTGTGCTATTATCAACCCTATAGCATTGGAAGTAAATATTCTGCTAATATTGAACCCAGTTGGCTTTGTTTTCACCTGGGTAAAAATTGAGAAAGCCAGAAAATTATGTAGTGTTATCCATATAAATCTCCATTTGCACTGGGTATACCAAATGGGTCTTTTAAAGGTCTGTTTTGATCACAGAATTTCAAAAATGTATATTACTCAGTGGTGAGACATGAAATGAGCAATCAAAGTCAGCTCGTCTTAAGTCTTATGAGGCCCAATGTCACCATATATAAAGCTACCTGATACAGTATAACCCAGTGTGGTCAAGTTGTATTGCTCCCAAAAGTATTCCAGTGAATTGTGGAAAAGCTAGAGTCAAATATGAGCCATTATTTTTCACAATTTCTAACACAGGAAGTCTTCAGGGATCCCATCATCTCAAAAAGAGAAAATAATGTTATTTGAAACAAAGCAACGACATTATTAAGAACTTAAAATAACTTGTAATTAAATAAGCGCCAATGAATGGAATTCATGAATGGAATATAAAGGAAGACTTTTCACTTTATACTTTGTAGTTTGTTTACATTTGTTACTTTTATTTGTATTTAAAAGAGATATTTAAAGATCCTTTTAATAGGTAAAAATGTTTTTATTTTATAAGGTAGCACTTTTTTTTATTCCCTCATTCCATCTTTTTCCCCAAATACTACTTTCATTAATTTAATGTGTATCATATCAGTTTGTATTTTTATATTTTTATTATATATTTAGCTAATATCCAAAAAATATTTAATACCATGTTATTTTATTTTTTTATTATGTTATGTTAATCACCATACATTACATCATTAGTTTTTGATGTAGTGTTTCCATGATTCATTGTTTGTGTATAACACCCAGTGCTCCATTCAGTACCTACCCTCTTTAATACCCATCACCAGGCTAACCCATCCGCCCACCCCCCTCCCCTCTAGAACCCTCAGTTTGTTTCTCAGAGTCCATAGTCTCTCATGGTTCATCTACCCCTCCGATTTCCCCCCCTTCGTTTTTAGGAAGGGAAAAATAAGGTAGCACTTTTAACCCGCCATGGTACTTTTTCTTCCAGTGTCTAAAACATAATATATGCGTTGAGACAAATTTACTAATTTTTATTCCTGATCATTGAATTGAAGGAAGACCCATTATTCTACAAGTCTGAAAAGTTTGCCCTTAGCAGTGTGTCAGAGAAGGAGGTTGGTAGAGAAGCATTTTCTCTTCTCCACTTACATCAGCTATGGCTGCACAGTACACATTCCCAAATGAGTGTCTTAAAGCAGTACCCATTTGTTTAGTTCATAATTCGTGGGTCAGCCATTTGGCTTGGCCTCAGCTGGGCAGTTCTGTGGCCTGTGTCAGGCTTTGCCAATCTCAGTTGGACTACCAGTGTGGCTGTGGCCAGCTTCCAGGTTGGCTGGGAATGAGTTAGTCTAGGTTGCTGTCTGTTGGAATGGTTGATCTCTGCTCTGTGTAGCCCTTCTTCCAGTGACCAGCACAGACTTACGCATCTCGGAGCTCAGCAGGATTCCAAGAGATAGAACAGAAGTGAGCGAGGTCCCTTGAAGACCCCTGACCAGCATCACTTCTGCATTCTAGGTTAAAGCAACTTACAAGGCCAGCCAGCCGAAATTCAGGGATTGGGGAAATAGATCGTACCACTTGATGGAGTTGCAGAGTCACGTTACACACATCTGTACTCTGCGTGGATGTAGAGAGGAAAATAATTGAAGTCATTTTTGCAAAAAGTCTATAATACAAAGTCTTAGACTGCCCACATAATATGGGAATAATCAATACAGTCTCTTTTTTGTGGGAATCAGAAATGTATCCCTTCTCTTAACATTTACTAATATAATCTTTTTATTGGTAAAATGTAGATAATTATTCAATGTAAAAATAGTCAATACACTCTAGATCTAGCTTTTTAATGCTAACAGGTTCTATTTACTGGCAGCAAAGCATTTACTATGTGCCAGGCAGTGTCCCAAACACAATGTCTAGCCTGTCACAAGAAGAGGTGGTTGTTAGGAGTATGGAATCTGAAACCTGACTTGGCTTGGATTCTGATTTTACCACTTGTCAGCTATGTCACCTTGGCAAACTAATTAGCCTTATTGTGCTGCAGTTTCCTATCAATAAAATGGGCTAATAATATTACATCTAATTATAAGGTTAATAAAAGGATTAAATCTATTTTCAGTGCTGGTAACTGTACCTAGCACCTGATGAGAGCTTTGTAACAGTCGGCGATTGTCACGGTCATGCTCATCATCCCCCACAGTAACCCTGTGATGGTTAATTCTATGAGGCGTGATTAATCCAAACCCTATAGGTAGTTTCTGTTATTATCTCCATTTTACAGAGGAGAACACTGAAGTTCGGGGAGCTTGACTAAAGTCACAGGGGCAAGATATGGCAGGACCCTTACTCAAGCCCCAGTAGCAGGGTTGAGTCTGGGCTTTTCATGCTTCACAGCACAACACCGTCACACTGTAACAGTAGCTTCCAGAGTAGTTGTCGGCAGGCCCAGCACTGACATATTTTGTTTTTTCTCCCCATTGTCAGCATTTCAGAGAAGGTTGATTTTCCCTGCTAATTGCATTTCAGTTGCGCTGACATAAAAGGCAGCCGCATTGAAGTTGAAGGAACTTCCGCATATACTTAACTAAACTGGGCAGGAGGAGAATGGAGCTGGTGTCTACTGAGCATCTTTCACATACCAGGTGCAGGGATACACCCTTGGCAAATACCTTAATTTATCTTCACAGATACCCCATTAGGTATATATTGTCCTCATTTTATAGGTGAGGAAACCAAGGCTGATCTTGCCTCAGGCACAAAGGATGAGTCTGATGTCAAAGCTTTGGCCCCTGTGCTGAACTGCTAAATTCAATGTAGAGAAACTCTATTGTGAGTACTTTGTAAAGAGACTGTATAGTACTTGTTACCTGATTTGCTTGTTTTAGAAAGGCAGAGGCTCTGACCTCTTCAAGATGATCTTGTGGTTTCACGCAAATGAGTTACTCTGTTCTCTTCCCTTCCAGAGGAGATCTGTACCCTAGTTATCGCTGAGACTTTCCCCGAAGATGCAGGGATTTTTACGTGCTCAGCAAGAAATGACTACGGATCAGTAACCAGTACTGCCCAGCTGATTGTCACCTCAGGTATGCAAGGAGTGAAAAATGGACTGGGTTCTGTTCCCTAGCACTTAGTGTGTGGTTCACCACAGCACAAAGAGCTACCCCAGAGGAGAGCTCAGCCTTTAGGAATGCTTGCTGCCCCTCCAGGAGTTATCCTAACAACCAGTGTCTCATCATGAAACAAAGGCTTTGGGGGAGGGGGAATGGAAGCGGAGATGAAAAACAGAAAGATAATGACAGTGTAGCAACTGAACACACAAGGAGCTATTTTCTAAGTCATGCAGCTTGGTCTTGGAAACAGTGGATCCGGTTTCCTAACATCCTCATGCTAACCCAGAATCATGCTGACAGCAGAAAGCCACCTCTGAATCAGAGGTGCGGTCGCTGTTCTCAGCAGTGCCAACCAAAGAGCTGGGACTTGTACAAACAAATCATTGTTTAAGCCACAATGGAAACTTCTGAAAAAGTAACACAAGATAAACCTAATGTAACTTGGAGAAGCCGTAAAGACCTTAGAAATCACATTTCGTTGAAAATGGGATGTAATTCTGATACGAAAAACTAAAGCAATGTAAGCAGTGTATTATAGTGTTAAGGCCAATATTCAGAACTATCTGGATTTTTTTTTTTAAAGGTTTATTTATTTATTTGAGAGAGCAAGACAGAGCATGAGTGCGGGCGGAGGGGCAGAGGGAGAGAATCTCAAGCAGACTCCCCGCTGAGCAGGGAGCCTGATCTCACGACCCCGAGACCATGACCTGAACCGAAACCAAGAGTGGGACACTTAACTGACTGAGCCACCCAGGCGCCCCTGGATATTTTTTTTTTTTTTAACTCAGAAATGTACCACTAACAAGGGCAACCTGAAACAGCTTTTTCCTTTATTTTCTTATAACTTTAGTTGACTATTTTCTGCTGTTACTAATTAGCTTTACTTCAGCTTACTTTTATTGTCTCATCACTGTTATTTACTTTACAGTAGTTTTTAAAATAGTGCTTCCACCAAGCCTGGCACATAGTACATACAGTAGGGAATCAAGAAATGGGCCGTGGCTGCTGAGACAGACTTGGGGAGAAGGACCGAGCTGCACTTTGATCTCTCTGGAAGAGTGAAAAGTTGGTGCTAGGTGGCAGCAGAAGCACAAACAAGACTGGCTTAAGGATATTAGAAGGGAAACTGTAAATGCTTTTTCATCTTAATTAAGAAAAGAAAGGTAATGTTCACCAGATGGGTGATGGAGCGGATCTGAATCAGTACTTTAAATGGGAAACAGACCACAGTTGGAGCTGCAGAGCAGGGAGGGTCCCAGTGTTCAATTCAGAGGTGGCTTGAGACTGTCCCATCAAACGGGCATCGCGGGAGTGTGGTGCTCCAACAACATGGCTGAAACTCTGGGCTCTAAACATCGATGTCGTGAAGATTGGTGTGCAGTATTGCCCGTTTTCATCTGGGGTGCATCTGCTGTAGGCCGAACGTAGTCAAATATTTTTTGAGCTTTCAGTTGACCTCAGTAAGCATTTTTTGAGTACATTCCAGGAGCTCTGCTGGGCTCTGGGCAAGGTGAGGAATCCAAGGATGACACGATCTTATCTCAAGATGCTTTCAGTTTGTTGAGAGTTAACGAGTCCATTTCTTTTGTACTGGATTACAGCCGTGACAGTCATCTGAATTGGAAAAACATTATAAATGAGATCATAAGACATTTTACTTAAATTCAGAATTCTGCTTTCCTTAGATTTAAATAGAATGAATATCTATTGCCTACCACATAAAGCCTGTATCGTTTGAGCTAATGTCCGTGAGGCATAGGTGGGATGTTCATTCGGATCCACGGGCTGCAGTGTGAGCCAACAAAACATTATTAGTTGATATTATTTGTGTTGTCATTTTTTTTTTTTTTACCAACTTCTGTGTTTTGATGTTGTTTGAAATTTGTTAATGAGTTGGTAGCTGGTCTCCCCACTTGTGGGCTCTATCAGGAAATGAAACAGGTAGCAGTCCCTGAAAACCAGTTTGGAAGAACCAGATCCCCAAGTTGGCTTTGCTTGTGCATCGTATGAGAGAGCAGGGGAGCTACCTTTTCTTTAACAACTTAGTGGGGCACAAGGGATTCTCAGGTAGTCTCTGACAGCATGAAAATAACTGTTGAACTATAGCATCTTATTATTTTTTCCTCTCTCCCCCCTTCTTTAGCCAACACTGAAAACTGTAACTATGACTCAGTGGGAGAATCCAACAATGATCACTTCCAACACTTTCCACCTCCCCCTCCAATCTTGGAGACAAGTTCCTTTGAGTTGGCTTCAAAGAACCCGTCTGAGATCCAGCAGGTGAACAGCCCTGAGTTAGGACTCGGCATGGCAGCCCTTCAAATGCAGTTCAATTCTGCTGAGCGGGAAACAAACGGAGTCCATCCCAGCCATGGAGTAAACGGACTGATTAACGGCAAAGCGAACAGTAATAAATCTCTTCCAACACCAGCTGTCCTACTTTCACCCACTAAGGAGCCACCACCTCTGCTTGCCAAACCAAAACTGTGAGTATTTCTGCATGGTTTTTATAATACTTTCCATACCCCTGCTGGATTGCCTTTCTGGCCAGGGAAAGCATTTTGCCTGGACTCAGCTATGTGGCAAGTTGCCTTTTCTGCAGGCAAGTTGTCCCTGGCTGATGTGACCTTGCTAACAAGGTGGGGGGGGGTGTCCTTCAAAAATATAAAAGATGCCTAAAAATGAAGAAGGTAAATGAGAAGCTTGGTTAAATGTACCCTTTGCTAAAAGTCATAACTGGTTTCAGCTGTAAAAATAGCCGTTCATGGCGTGGCCTTCCAATGTATAGCAAGGATGTAGCCACCCCCCAGAGGTGATGGGAAAGGAGACCTACTTTGAGCTCGCTATTTTAAAAACATTTCCAAATGTTTTAAATTTAAGAATCAGCAAGGAAATCTGATAGAGATAATCCTGGGAAGACTGAAAGCTGAGGATGGAAGTTCAGTGTGCAGGACCTGAGGAGGGGAGTGAACCCAGAGATAACCAGGGCCCTCAGGAAGAAGAGTGCCCCTTACCACACAGCCTCCTTGGCTTTGGAATTCCATAGAACTGTTTATTTCCATGAATGCCACCTTCATATTTGACATCCATTATTTCCTTAGGATGGTAAACCTTACATGAGCTGTCTTATTGGCACAACACAGCAGAGAGTTGTTACGAATAGAGCCATTACAATGTCAGAGAGCGGCAGAAATCAATGAACTCAATAGGTTCTATCATAGCACAACAGACCTTGAATTACTGCCCTGATAGAGGTCAGTGGAGATGTCATATGTAATGTGTACATACCTATGAGGTCACGTTTCCATGAGAATGAATTTGCCAGAATCTAGGAATTATTGTTTCCCTAGGATTGAACAGCCTACTCTCGTCTCCCTGTCATCAGCTCGTTTGTTAGAAATGTTAGAATGTATACGATATTTTGAATTAGAATGTCTTACATTTGTACATCACTTTGTTTACTCAGTGATTTCATGAGCCTTGTTAGACTAATCAAATAAATCAGCCACAGAATGTCTTAAGTTAGCAAATGGGCAGACAGTTTTAGAAGAATAAACTTCTGGACAATCTTGTGTTGCAGTTTCCAAAATCTGTCTATTACTACCCTGCACTTCATTTTGCATTTAGGCCAAGCTCGTTTTTCAGGCAGTGGGGCTCCTAGGTGTGTATACAGCGGTGTGAAAAATAGCAGCTGAACACTGAATACCTGTGCCCCAGCTCCCCAGAGACGATGAGCAGGTAGAATGAACTGAGAAGTGGCAGCCTTACAAGAGAATTATACCCTGGTAGCTCCAACCCATAAAATTAATTGCCACTGCTGACTCCTTTTACCTTTGGGTTTTGAATATGTATTTGTAGTGCTTTTAATGAAACGAGGGACCTGCTCTCCTGAGGAAGACTTTTAATGATGAGGACTTGACTGTGCTCTTGATTAAATGAAGTGTATCTACCATAATGGCTGTCATAAATTGGATATAAATCACAGGAGAGCAAACATGAGGAGCTGTGAACAGGCGTTTACAGCCCTTCTTATCTCGGGACTTTCAGCAGCTCGTCAGCTCATGGCTCTGCTTTACAGAGATGCCAGTGTGTGTGGTGAGGGGGGTGTGTGTCTACAAAAGAGAACAATTCTGTGTTTAATGAGAAGAGGAGTAACATAGGGGCACCTGGGTGGCTCAGGCGGTTGAGCTTCTGACTCTTGATTTCGGCTCGGATCATGATCTCAGGGTTGCGAAATCGAGCCCTGCGTTGGGCTCTTTGCTCAGTAGGGAGTCTGCTTGAGATTCTCTCTCTCCTCCCTTTGCCCCTCCCCCCAGTCATGCTCACGCTCGCTCTCTCAAATAAATCAGTCTTTTAAAAAAAAAAAAAAGATGAGTAACTTAAGTACAAGTTTAAGAGTGACACCATGATTTGCTTATTAGTCAGATATTCAATACAACATAAGGTAGAGGAAAAATGGACTTTAGTGTTTAATATCCATATAAAGGGGTTACTCCCTGCTTCATGAGGAAATTTAGGGAAAGGCAGAGAGCGCCTAATCACAAAACCTGGTAGCTTAGAAATAACGTTACTTGTACCAAGTTTTACCACTGTTTTTTTTTTTCCCCAAATCTTTATGTGCTTAAGTATATCCTTAGAGTATCACTTAATTCTTTTCATATTGTATTATTACCTGCAGTTTACTAGGTAGAAAATAAAATATGTGATGACACCTTCAAAATACATATTTTAAAGTTTTCTTTAATACTTTTTTGGATTTGTTTTAATTACAAAGTAAATGCATGCTCGATGTGCCAATTCAAACAATATGGAAGTAATTAAAGAAAAAGTGAACACTATTTGCTTTTCTTCTTCCATCCTGCCTTTTTGAAGTTACCAGTGTTACTTGTTTGGTCTGGTCTTTCACTCCTTTTGTATTCTCATGGTCTTTTCTGAAAAGGTTTCTCATTGTTTTAAAAGTGGTATCCATTGATAGAGGAGTGCTCTATCATTCCATGGAATGACATCTGCAATAATTCAGAATGGCATTGAAGTTATTGACGAGGACCACAGGTAACTGCCAAGTACAATTCTTACACGTGTCTATTTCTTTTTGGACACTGGGGAGAAAATGAAATTTTGCCTCATTGTTGGCAGTGAAAAAGTATGCATTGCTCTAATCTTTTTCCATTAGCCTGTGATTTTATTCCCTTTCATGAAAGGAGAGGCTTATATTTTGGGAATTCATGGTGTTTCATTCTTCTGAATCATTTGTAATCAAATAGGAAACAATTAGGAGGGGGGCAAATAATAGGAATTAAAACATTTACTCTTGGAATAAATTAACCTGAAAATCGTGTTTGACTTGTTAGATTCCTGAGGAAAGATCATTTTCAAAAAGAAAATCTCTTTGCGTTTTTTCTCTCAGTAGTTCCAATACTGATCATGAGAAGAAAAAAAAAAAATCAAAGACTAAAGTGGAAAGATAGATATGTCATGAATTCTTTTCTTTAGCAAGGGCCAGCCCTGATCCCTTCTAACCCAGCTGAAGTCCTCACCAATAGCTTTGCAACCCTCCCAGACTTGCAGCTGAATCTGCCCTACCTGCCTGAGGGTGAGTTTCCCTGCTTAGTGTCCTGTTGATATCCACTTCAGTTTCTGCATCTCTCAGTGTCTTTGTCTCAGATACTGTCCCCCAGGTGTAAGTTTAACACGATTCAATATAGGCCGTTCAGTAAGTGCCAGATGCTATGCACACTGGATTTGTGGCATAACTTTACCACTTGCTGTGGGAACAGAAGTGCACTTAGAACACTACACAGGAAAAAATTCATAAATGAGAGTTACTTATGTGGCTTAATGTCTGATACTCAAAATCTTCTATCACAGTGCGAAGGAAAGAAGCAACAAGATGCTTAAGTCATATTTCTTCTCACAGAAAAAGAGAAAGGAATAAATATAAACTTAACTTATGAGCTATTTGTTACATTATTTTCCTTGTTAGGAGTGCACCATATAAGTTTATTGCCTCCCACTCTCTGCAAATTATGTCTGAAGATTCAAAATAAACATAGGGCTCAGTTTGTTAATAGGAAACAAAATCCCTGTTTCTCTTTTATTCCTGCCAAAACACAGTTCTTCAAAGGCATGGATATGCATGGGATCCCCAGGAATAAACCCTAGAGGAAAACTTGGGAATGCCAAATTTAGTAGGTGATTTGCAAAGCATATAGAAAAGCATGGTCATGTTTTTCCACTGAGCTCACCTCCTGAATTAGACCAAACAATATCTAAATAACATGCTGCTTTCAAATCCCATTTGCTTCTTTGTTTTTAATATTCTTCCTGTCTTGTGCGAGGGAAGTAGAATATAAACTTGTGTAAGAAGCAAAATGAGAAGTCCAAAGGGAGATTTCTAAAGGGTGAATCAACAGGCAAGTCCTTGCACCCAGAAACAGGACAAGTCAGCAGATAAGATGATACATGTTCATCACCCTGGTGCTGGTAATATACACCTTAGCCTGAAAGTCCATGCCCTTTGACTGGAAGAATGATAATGAAATGTTTTTCAGAATTTTTAACACGCTTAATTAACAGCTAAGCTAGGTATGGATTTAACTCTCTTTGCTCCTATTCTTACTGCTTTCTCTTCTGCTGGCCTCTAAAGAGAAAACAGCATCATCATTTCCTATCTGAAAAGGGTAAAATGAATCAGGCTTTTTGAGAGTGGCATTTCACTACCTTCAGTTCTGTCTTTGCCCTTTCTCTCAGTCCTACCCTTAGACACCTACTTGCTCCTGCAGTTCTTGCCTCAAGAGAGGGGGGGCGTGTTCTATAAACCCCTTCATACTAAGGTCCTTGGGATCTTGTGCATCATGGCAGTGCAGTTGCGGACTGACAAAGCAAAGCTGCATCTTCATGCTAATAAGCGATAATAAGCAGCGTGTGTAGTCAGAGACCCGTCCTTTTCACTGCGTGTGCGGGGACGAGAATGCTGTGTTGGAGAGATCCAAGAGGAGGAAATAGCAGCCTGTATCCCTCTCTTTATCAGTGATTGAACTGCACCCGGCTTGCTATATTTGGAAGTTCCTTAAGGTTTCCTCCACACTTCAAGCACAAGTTGTTCCCTTGCCTGGAATGTTCTACTCCCCAGAATGTTCTGCTACTAATAGCTGGCTCCTTCTTGCTTTTGACTCCCAGCTTAATGTCACCACCTCCCCTGACCACCCAACCTAAAGCTAATTCTCCAGCTATTCAACCCAGCTATTCTCCAATAAATCATCCTCTTTCATGACCGCAGAGCATGTAACTCTTTCTGATAGCTTCCTATTGACTTCTTGTTAGTGTGTGTCCTGCTTTTGCCCCACTATTATAAGGTAAGCTTTTTGAGAGTAGAAACCTTAACCATTTTTCACCAGGACCTAGATCAGGGCCTGACATGCTCAAAAACATTTCTGAATGAATGAAGCAAGAACAGACCAACAAAAAGGAAGAGCAGGGCCTCCCG